CCTATTAACAGACAGCTAAACTATGAAAGAGCGTGTGGCAGCCTGGCTCTGGTTGGTAGAGGCAAGCAGAGACAGAGGTGGGTGGTGAGCATGGGTAGTTTCGGCTTGGGAAAAGGGAGGGTCTAAGCAGCCTGAGGTTCAAAACCCTGAGGCGGTCAGCTGTCCTCTCTGGAGGCAGGCTCAGGAATAGGGCCGTTTTCAGGGGGTACCCCCAGGTTCTTGCAGCTTGTTTGTTCTGTGTCCATCAAACTCATCTTGTTTTCAGTAGAGGTGAAAGACTGGAACAGGAGGTTGAAAATATGTAAAATCTTTACAGCTGCTAAGTTACTGGATTTATTAGTCGACATGAGAGCATTAGTGGAGAGGTCTAATCTTACAAGTCTTTTTAAAGCTTGTCAAGAAGCAGGCAGAGCAGAAGGACTTCATGGAAACTACTGACTTATGCCTTATTTGTCATTGATTTCTTGTGTATAATTTGTGTAAAGCTCACCATTCAGAACCTCCGTTAGGAGCGAGTCTGTTATGCTAGGCTTTACTTGATTGCTTTATACAGTCCAGTGTACAGGCTATTTTTCTGTGACTGACTGACAGCAGGAAATTTCTTATTTGCTGTTGTGTCTGCTAAGTACTCTACCACGTGAAGTGGGGATTTTGGGTGGTAAAACTGTTATGTGCTTATTATCTTTTTAAGAGTAGCTAAATAAGTTAATACTGCTACCTAGTTAGGAGCAAGCACTCAAACATTTATTGTTTTCATGTAATAATGTCTACATCTTTAGGGTTTTCTTGTACTAAAGTCTTTGCTAACAATGTGTTCTCCATATAAAACTATCTCTCTACATGCAAAATTCTATCTTGGAATACTTAGAGAAAAAGGATCCAGTCTTCTAGTAAAAATGCTTTGCCCTCAGCACTGTTCATGTAAGGGGAGGCACTTGTGTGTGATTCTAATGGTCGATAAGCTTTTTTTGTGGATCAGTGCTCAGAAGCCTTCAGTGTAATGGTCTTTTGCGAGGCAGGGGAATGGAAAGGGATGTGATAGGGGTGAAGGGTTTTTTAAAGATGTTTGGAAGTTACTGCATTTTATACTTTCTTTTTTTTTTTTCCTGTAAGTGTTCCAGATATGTGCTAAGACTGCAAATGAGGGTTTGAGATAGCCACCAAATTATAAAGCATGTTTAGCCAAGACTGATAACTGGCTCCGGCTGACAGGAAGTAGAACATGATGAGCAGGAGTCTAATGGAGCTGTGTGGTGTGGTGCGTTAGGTACAGCACTGTGTTTTACAGCACAACAGGGCTGTAAAAGAGGAGTATAGGAAGTAATAGGAGTCGTGCATTTCCAGAGAGGATGCTGTCATTATAGAGATAGAAGTTATGATAGTTGCTTGGCTTTGCTGAATCAATTGGTGTTCTCAGAGTGAATTATTTTAAACTAGCAGTATTAGTAGATGCCTGAGGTGGCAAAACATCTCATCTGATCCACGCAAATTACTCTCACTCACAAATCTCTTTCATTAGCATGGGGAGGATTAAATAGTCCTTTGAAGGCCTAGCTTGTCGAGTTTTGCAGTCTTTTTCATGTACTGGAGTGCAGAGTGCTAATCTGTCCTGCATTAGGATGTCCGTGAAAGCTTATCTTGATTATGTGATGTGCCTGTTCAACACTGACATTTGTTTTTTAAACCTTGAGTTGCTTTCAGATGGGGAGAAGATGACCTGCACAGCTGGAGGTGAAAGCTCTCTCTCACTGCAATGATAGTTAAAACAATCTCTAGTAACACAGGATTGGTTCTGCCAGTGTCTTAAAGTATTGCTTTGCAACTTGGAGAAATAATAAAATATAGAATAAATTTTAGCATGTAAGGTATGGCTGCTTTTGGGTTAAGGGAGGGGTTGTATCTTTCCACAGGAAGTTCTCTGGCTTGTTGGCCATAGGTAGATTTTCTTACGCATTGTCTTTTCCGAAGACATACATTTATTCACCTTTTCTGTGTGTGAACTAAATGCTAACACACACTAGAAACTATGCTTATGATAAGTAAAATGCAGTATCGATATCCACTGTGACTAAAGACTTAATATGCATTATTATTTGTGTGTGAAGGGCTGCTAGTAAAGCAAAGTGCTCAGAAACCTACCTCAGATCTAAGTAGCTTAACTTCTCTGAATGTCAGCTCAGTAAATGTTACATCTCTGCTGTCAGCATTTAAGGGTTAAGTTTCTCTTTCCAAAAAAGTATTGATTTTTCTCTTTTTTTCTTAGAACAGTTTACTACTCTGGAAGTAGTTGTGTAAACATTCAGCTTTAAGTGCAACTTCTTCTCTTAAACCTTGGTGTAGAACAGAGGTGCTCAACCATTCTGTCCTGGAGCCATGTGAAGGCTGGACAGTTTGTTCTGTCCCCGTCATCAACCAACATGCTTGTGCATTTGTCACGTGGCCTGTTCAGCCCTTACATGACCTGACAGTCATATAGTCAGGTAAACAAATGTGTAGGCTTGTGTTTGTGGGAATAGGGGAAATGGCATCAGTGTTTGACTTATCCCCAAAACTGTATTTGGTCCATAGATTGTGAGCTGGTCGTCTCAGGTTTAGAAAACTGTAAGCTTTAATATTAAACTAGCTTAGCTTAGATTGGTTTCCTAAACACGTATTAGTCACGTGAGAAAACAGGAGTATCCTAATTCTGCTTTATCTAACATCTGTTTTCAGCAGTACTGTTTGTTCTCAGCAGGTTTTTGTGTGCATTGCAGTAGCTTGGCAACCTGTAGGTTGCACCATTCAATGAATTCAGTATGCTTTTAATCATCACTAAAATTTTCCTTTCCAAATTTGAATATTATAAGTACAGTGAAGTGGGCATCTGTGATTATGACAGCCACGTTAAACAGATCCCAACTGAAACAAGCTGTTCATGTGAATTTATAATCCAGTGTATTTCTTCAAATTTCAGCCCAAAAGTTTAAGAAAGGATACTTGTAATTTCTTTCTGGGAACGGTATTTAAGCAGTTGCAGCTACTTAAAGTTCCCAAATACAGATTTGGGCAGTGTGCTGAAAAACATAACTACTAAAGAAAGCATGACTATTTGCTGGTTCTGTTGTAGGAGCAAAGCTCGAGTTTGGCCTTTCTCTGCACGCAGAGGCATGAACATGGTTTGTGCAATCCTGTTAATTGTACATTCTTTTTAAACTTGAATCTCAGTATGTTAGAAACAGAAAAAAGCTTTTGGTAATAGTGTAGTGAGTATGCTTAGGCAGAATGAATCTTTAGTTCCATTTCCTATGTTCTTACTAATGGCCAACAGAGTGAAGCATTCTTATGCGATAGATTAGAACTTGCTGGGGTTTTGTACTATACCCTAATTTGTAGGGAAGAAACAGAATGCAGGAGGGAAACCCACTTACGTTATGGAGCTGGTACCTGTTGTAACATATGGTTCATCATTTTGAATGAACAAGGTTTCTTGATTCTAAATAAATCTAGTAATTCCCCTCACACTTTTAACTTAAAAATTGCATCTCAGGAAAGCCAGTAAAACAACGTATGGTACAAACATCTTCAAGGAAATGAAGTTTACCACTAAATAAGATGTAGATATCTTTTTTCTTTTTTTTTAATAGGTAATGCAGAGTTCACAACTTCCTATTTAACAATTCCTGCCGCTTCCTTTCTTGTGTGTTTTAGTACTTCCTCTACATACGAGCTCATAACTTTGAGAATTTTGATGGAATTAGTAGAAAGTTGGAAATACGGCTGTTGCCAGTCCCATAGTATTCTAAATACAAAAATAATACTGACATGGTCTGAATATGTGCCACATCATACTCATGATGCGACTTTATTCCCTTAACATTTGCAAATATATTAGAAAGTTTTATTTAGCTTTTAGATTATTGGAGTACCCAATGTGAATGAAATAATTTATGCAGAGTGACACCCCTTAGCCATGAAAGAAAAAAAAAATTGCTTTAAACTCTGACTGCAGTTGCTCAGTGTTTCAAAGTAATGAACAGAGTTTACTTGCATTAGAACTGAGTCCTTTCTTTTTCATATTAAACATTTACTGGTATTGCTTTGCTTGTTCTTTTAAAGGTCTAACAGAGATTTTTATGTAACGGTAGTTTTTCATAGTCGTCTCTAGAAAAAGTAGATTCAAAAACGTCTCTAGAAAAAGTAGATTTAAAAATATTCTTTCACCAATAGAAATATATTTTAAGAAATTATTCTCTTACCTTTCCTGTTTATGAAAATACTAATAAAATGACTGACATAATACATATAAAACAAAAACGTGATAGCTTAAATATGACTTATTTTGTGAATGCCAATTTTAAACGCACTGTGATAATGCTTGTTGCTCCTCATCTTTCATTCTTCATCACTGATATACCTGTTTCTGCAGAGTAAGAATCTGATACATGTAGAGCTGCCTATGTTTTAATTTTGAAATCTGACCATTAGTTCATTCAAGCATGTTCAACATTGGCTTGCCACTACTTCTGCCATGTAAATTCAATGATATTTTGACTGTTGGTGGGACAGTCAGCATTTTGAAAGTCTCACCAATGTAATGTATTCAGAAGATTATGTAGCAGAAACTTGGGCTGTGTGGCCAAGATATAGTATTAAATGTACAGTTTGGCTAAAAAAATACCTTTGATTTCTAATGCATTTCTTCCATCATCTGAACAAAAATGGCTCCAAAATACCAACCTCCAGGTCACTATTTCTAAAACACAGAGAGCTCACAAAAAACCTTCATGGCAGTTCTGGTGTGTTGTGTTGAGAAGTGTGTTCAAGCCTATCTGTTTCATGCTTTTGCTGCTGAATAGATAGAGGAACTACGTGAACGCTTTTGTGCATTGATTACTGAAACTAGAGTTCAGAGCTCTTTAAACAAGGAGTACATGTTCATAAGCAAGCAGCTATGAACTGGACCTTTTCTTTTCCTTTCAAGACAGGCTCTTCTGAATGCTCCAGATAGAGAGGAGATTGCCTTTACCTTATCAAATAAGAATATATGCCTTTATAAATGAAACATTACAGAAAAAATAGTGGTAAGTCTCTAAAGTCTGAATAATCTGTTGCTGTTCATTTGATATGGTAACAGTATTGTGCTGTGAAGGCTAATTTAGTAGGTTTCTGAGAGGGAAATAACCTTTGGAACTCTTATAATATGCAAACTAATTAGGGGTTACAGTGAACACAGCTGTTTCTGCCAAGCTGACTAAGCTAGGAATTCAAATATCTATTTTTAGCCAGCTTATGTCTCTAGTTCTCAATGGTACCCATGTTATTATTTTTAAAAATTATATTAATGTGTATTTATCACACTGACAAACTAGATATAATAAACATTTTTAGTGCAACCAGTCCATTACTTTTTAAATGGAACAAACTGTGAATGTACAGACACAACAGAACACTTCAGGTGGCATCTGGGCTGTGTTACTCTGAAATCACGTCTATGACTTGTATGAATTCAAACTGAAAGCTTCCTCAGAGGAAGCTGAGGGGCATGAGCCCTGGAATGAAGTAATTGTTGTTTTCTGTAAGTTGTTTACATATAGTCTGTCTATCATACATATTCCCCCTTTTCTTGCCCTCCAAGTTGCCTTTCTCCATTATACAACAATTTCTTGCATACTGTTGTTTGCATTCAAAATGCTTTTCTGTTGATCCTTGAGATGATCATTGTACAGATCCTGTAGAATTTATAGTAATTTTTATCCTGAAATCTAAAAGTCATTGCAGTTAACTGTACTTCTGCAGACTATGAAGTAACTGCACTAATAAAAATTGGGAAAACAATGCTGGTGGAGGTTACTTTGTGTAAAGCGTTTACAGTTCTATGAGGTATTGTCAAGATTAACTTCAAAATTGCATTCTGAACTAGTTTCTTTTTTCTAATAAGCTTTATTTGGAACTTTCTGCAAAGATTACTGGATGAGCAAAAGCATTCCTCAAAATCTGTGCGTACTGAATAGACATACTTCATGCATAAATTTGTTGCTTTTTTAAAAAAAAAAAGTCTAATTTTAACATAACATATGGCAAGCTGGTGTCTAAAACTGCTTTAACTGACTGTACTTTCCAAAGGCATGTATAACTAGTTTAATTTGAGATAAGAATTAAGTCTTAGAAAAGCTATTTTAATTCCTATTTGCTTCTGTTAACACCAATAGCTTGCTTACCCTATCCTCTGAATTACAGTAGATAAGATCTGAGTTTAGTCTTAATCAGTGCTGGGTGTAGAAAATGATGCTTGCAAATTAATCCTGTTTTATAAAATCCTGTTTTCACTTCTGTTTTTCATGATGGTAAGAGACTTTCAGACCATCTCATATCAAGAAGATAAAAACTAGGCAAACTCCAGAAGTTCTGATTCCTAAGTAATAATCCTTTTGTTGCTGGTTTTGTGTCATCATGGAAAATAGGCCATTGACAATTAATGTAGAAGTGCTTTTGTATTTAGAAAGACTTTCTCACCAGGCACGTAAAGGAAATACATGATTTCTAGGCCTGGCTCCCATGGCTCTGAATGATGTCCGCTTCCAATGGCAATTCTTTTTTTCTATAGCACTAATGATGGGGAAGGGGAGCTAGTCTAAAACTTTCTTCCCTTGCCTCTAGGGACCAGAGAAGACAAAAGCATTCCTACAAGAGCCTAAAAAGAGAAATAGCCTCCCTTCTGAAAGGAGAAATATATAGTTGTTCCAACACAGCTGTCAACTCAAGAGCATTACAGCGAAGTGGTTGGATTCCTAAAATGGTAGTGAGAAACATTGACTCCTAAGTTAGAAACCTAACGAGTTTGAGCATTGTGGATGAAAACTAATCTGCTTGGAGAACACAAGCAGCATCCATAATAGCAACCAAGAGGTGTCTTCTGACTGTCTTCAATGGGTGACTTCCCTAACTGGTGCATTTGCACCCCTCTTGAGAGAGGACACAACTGGCTATTTGGAAGAGATAGGGTAGATCAAAATCACTAGTCTAGCACAAAGGCCTGTCTCTCTGTCATTGAAACCCTTTAATGTTTTAGCAGTCCAAATTGACGTAAATGTTTATTTTGGAATGTAATGCCAGGAACAACAACAAACCTGACATTAGGGCATCCAAAGGACAATAGCAGTGATGTGAAAAAACGTATGATATTTTCCTTCGTAAGACCTAGAAGGATATTTTTGTAGCTTTAAGTCTCTAATGAACTTGCAGAGGATTATGTGTGTGTGTGTGTGTATTCTTACACACAGCTTTTCCCTTTGCATGCAAATTCTAATGCCGTGTTAACAGCATGACAAAAATGAATTGGTGGTAAATCTCAGAGTGTACGAAGTCTCCTGCTTTCCCTGTTACTCATTGCATTGACTGTGGTTTCTAGGAGGTATTGTAAGGTGCCAAGGCAAGTTGTTGAATTTGTAGAGCTTGATAATTAAATATGAGAACAACTCTGGAGCTCTTGAAAAACTCAGATTTTCTGTTTTCAGGCACATCTAGTGCTGTAAGACCTCTCTGACATCGGTGAATCTTTTGCTTTTGATCAAATTGTCTCTATGTAGCCATCTCATTCCACCTAGTTTTTAATATTCATGTTGAGCACGCACCAAAACTTCTAAGGTCATCGGTTTCCTGTTTTCAAGTAGTATTTGTAAATGGTCTTTGGTCTTCATTACTAGTAACTGGATGACCACCACTTTAATGTAGATACCGCACCATGAGAGAGATATATGGTTTTTTTCTATTTGAACCTCATAATCCGTCTACAACAGAAAGTAGTGCTGCAGAGCAAACTGAAAACTGTAAAAAGCATGTTCCTATTTGCTGAATCCAGGGTTAAAAATCCTTGTGATCTTACTCAGGGAATCACATGCCTTCCAGGGAATTGTTCTGGTGCTAAATGTATGGGTGTAAAATCAAACTCTCTGAAAAACAGAAGGTCTGTATTTCTTCTTTTTACCACTAGGAGACTGTTTAAGAAAACAACTTTTCTTTCTCTGACTTGGTTAGGATTGCCTTGAGGATTAGAACTATAAAATACCCCAAAGCTTGGCAAATAGGTGAGATTTTTTTTTTTTTTTTTTTTTTTTACCCCTACGGGAAGGG